TAAACTTCCAACATAGTGCAATAAGCAGTAAACAAAGAAACACTATGATTAGCAGAAAGTTGAGAACACACAATACATAATATATATAAACAAGAGATGGCTACTAAACTCTCTTTATAATTCAGCCTATTCAGCATATTCAAACATCATCACAAGCTCTGTCAGATTCATTTGCAGTGATTTCCACCATGCTACATCAACAAATCTGAAGCAACTAAAACACATCTACCCGCACCTTTCTGTATACCACTCAAGAGACGGAGCAACAAAAGAAAGAGAATTACAGTTGTGACATGATAACAGAGTTCATCAATTATTTCTATTTATTTCCTGTAAATAAAATTGTTGTTGTCTGCCTTCAAGTCTTTTCTGACTTATAGCAGCCCTAAGAGGATGTATCATAGGGTCCTCTTGGGCAGATTTATTCAGAGGGGTTTTGCCTTTGCCCTCCTCTCAAGCTGAGAAAGTATGACTTCCCAAAGTCAACCAGTGAGTTTCCACAGCTGAGCAGGGATTCATACCCTGGTTTCCAGAGTTGTAATCCAATGTTCGAACCACTACACCACACTGGCTCCCGTGCATAAAATGCATATCTCTATAATTCGTAACAAGACATTGCCATCACATCTGTGTGAAATTTATTGAATACAGAGTACCTTATTTCAGAGAAACAAGCAATATGCATTTAGTCACACATGCTCACATTTCAGACCACAGGGACAGATCAAATGAAAATTCAGAAGAATGCCACTCCACTTGGCCTACCACCTTCTCTGCAAATTAGTATCTGAGTGTTCATCTACCACCTCGAAAACATGTGAAGTTACTGTAAAGTGACTAGAAAACATTTCTTAATTTAACATTATTAACAACAAAGGAGCTGATCCTGACCTTCATTTTCCATGTGAATTATTTCCCTACATTCGACATTGTCATACCTGCTACAAACAGAGGAGATCTAGGTGTGGGCATGGTACAGATAACATGCCCTAACATTTAGAGTTTAGTGCAGGCCATAGCTAAGGCAGAAGCTCTTTTCATTAGTACTCCTTAAAAAGCCATGTGTGTGCTTGAAAATGTAGCTTTAGAACTGTTTTGAGCATTTTAATAACCTGTGTTATAGGTAGCTACCCACAAGTGTTTCTCACAAAGTACAAGCATACTTGCTCACACAGCTATCTACAAGAAAATTAAAGGAACAGGAACAGTAAAGGAAGTAAAGTGAAATCTCAGAAGTACACGTCACTGCATTCAGTCAGACTTATTCCCATGTATACATGATCTGCACAATAAATTCCTAATTCTGCTGCCCTGATGGTATGGGAGAGTTGGGAGATATTCTACACTTGCCAAAATGTTTGCTAGGATGGGCAGATTGTCACACATAGATGAGTACACAAAAGTACTTGTGAATTTAAAATAATACAAGAATATTATATTTCCCCTGTAACAGAAATTACAACAAAGAGGCAGACAAAAGGGCCAAGAAATATGAAGCGTAAAAACAGAGACAGAAAATTATGGACATTTTTTGAAGCCTTGGAGAGAAACATTTCCTTTTCTTCCCCCTAGAAACCATGGACACCACAAGAAAAAAAAAGTGTAGCATTTGGAAAGAAACCATCTCATACAGTCACAATCTTAAGGACTAGCCTAGTGAAATATTTGGATATAAACTTTAACTCCAAAATGAAAATAATGAATACTTCAACAATGTATTATAAAAGAAAAGAAAGCTCCCTGTAAGCTTCTCTCATGAAGATGGTAGCATCCACTAGACATAGAAATGCGTCTAGGGTTTTAGAGTTGATGTCCAAAATATTTACGGAACATACGGTACCATTCTCTAATTTTGTAGACTTTCTTACACAAATCTTTATACTGTACAGTTCCCACATTTTGTCAAGCCTTGTCTTAACAAGCATTTGGTCTTCTGTCAAAAATAAAATATTCTGTCTGATAGTTGTTAAAGTTTTTTATTTTTTAAATTTTATTTTGGTATGTTAGCCTACATTTCCACTTTGTCCCCACTGAAAAATATTTAAACAAACCCTCGGAAAACAATTTTCCTCAATTTTCCAGGTCTTCCAATTATAGAAACTTACGAAACGCGCCTCCGAATAAATTTTGCTTCAACTTACGAAATTGTTCTACTTACGAAACTGGCGGGAAGGAGCTGCTTTTTGAATTTCGTGGCATGCTATTGGTTAGTGAAATCTGGCAAAGCAGCACTCTATTGGCTAGAGAACCAGGAAGTGTTTGCCTAGTGAAACTAAGTTAGGTAGTACTGTTAGGGCTTGCCAGAGAGGAGAGGAAGTGTGTTTTTCTTTGCCTCCTCCTCCTTCCTCCCTCCTCCCTCCCTCCTCCTCTCTCACTCACTGTTGCCATCGCACAGACAGCCGACCCGAAAGGTAAATGAAACTTTTTTACTGTACATTTGTATTGAGTTGTAGCTTGAATCTGGGGGCCTGGAACGGATTAGGCCTTTTCAATGTTAAATTTGCTTCAACTTACAAAATTTTCTACTTACGAAATGGGCTGTGGAACAGATTAATTTCATAAGTAGAGGTACCACTGTACTGCAGATAGGAAAATAGTGTAACTTCACAAACTGTAGTGCCTAAGAAACAAGGAGTATCATGCCTCCTGTAAAGAACAGATAAAACTTTATTATTAATGCATCTCTGGCAGGGCATTGGTGGTGAATATGTGACTCCAGGTGTTGCTGGAATGCAAATCCTACAATCGCTAGCACAGCCAATGATGGGAGATTATGGGAGCCACAGCCCAATAACATATGGAGCTCCACAAGCTGCAAACCCTAACTGTATTATGTTTTCACCATCACATCCTACTAAGAATATATTTTTAAAAATTGGTGTTGTCATAATCCGGGAAACACTCACAGATATGAGATACATTTTCCAGTGTACAGACTTGTGTGTCAAAGATGTACAGCTGTCAAGTAATCGCTAAGAAATGGTATGAAGTAAAGCAAGGTAATTTACAAGAATGTTTTTCCCCTTAACATATTATGCAAGTCATGCAATAAAATGAATGCCTTAGGAAAATGATTGTATTTGGATTTTGTTGTTTCCTGTTTGTTTTTTGGTCCAATCTTTAGGCTTAAACAGGTTTACCCACGGCCATACCTGGGAACCTCCACATATTTCATCCTGAGATTTTAGGAGAAAGGGTAAAGAAAATCTATACAATTTATTCCTTTTATCTTTTCTTTTACCCTTCTGTCACTTCAACTCCACCTACATTGCACATAGATCTGAAACTGAGGCTCTGCACAACACAGAACCGAATCCAAGCAAGAATTTCTCGTAAGTGTAATTTCAATACACATTTCATATTTAAATACATATAGACAGATAAATATATGGATGGATGTGTGTGCAAATCAGCATTCTGCTATATAGTACTGCATCTAAGATGTGCCTACACTTAGCATGCTCCCCATGAAACACACTTAGCAACTTCAGTTGGAAAACACAAAGACACAGGAGGTACAAACAGAGACCAGAAATAACCAGGACACTGTTTCCTTCAAACTTTGGGATTGTCAGCCTTAGTTACCGGTCAGCAACTTAGTTTCACAGCAGTGAGAAATAAATAACAGCTTCATTTACACAGCCAGTACAAATGAGTGAAATTACCATAGTGGTGCTCTAATTCCTGTTCCAGCCAACATGCACTCTATTCACACCGTCCTTATGAAAATGAGACTCATGTTTTCTAGCCCTCTCTGAAATATCCAGGTGGTTTTAAATTTTGTTTTAAATTAACCGTGTGTGTGCTTTTGATGGGATGAAGAGAAAAAGACAAAACCCTCAACTTCATATTAAGATGTTAGTAATAATCTACATTTTCTACTCCACCCTAACATAACAAAACATCCTGTGTGTAATGTCTTCATATTACTCACACAATGATTACAAAATTATATGTCAACTAGTTCAAGGACGCAACTATTCAGTAACCTGGGAAGGGAGGAATTTTCCTTGGAAGCAACTTTCATAGCATTTGCTTATAACATTGACTACTCTGTTAGACTCTTAGAGCCTTTGCAGACTGCCAGAAATAGTGCAAATTGAGTCCACTTTAAGGGTTAGGGTTAGTGCTAGGGAGTCATGGGAATTGTTTTTTTTCCCCCTGAGACATTGAGCCTTCTCTGTCAGAGAGCTCTGGTGCCACAATAAAATAAAGTTCCCATGATTCCCTAACCCTAACCCTTAAAGTGGACTCAATTTGCACTATTTCTGGCAGTCTGCAAAGGCCCTTAGTGCAGGATAAAGAATCATAGTGCATATTATTATATATTCCTCCATTTGCTATCATCATATTTTCATCAGATCTGTGATGCCAAACACCAGCGTGTTTGTTTCCAGTTGTAAAGCAAACAGCTCTCCGCTAACTTTCACAATTCAAAAGGAGAGAATGCTGTAAAGTGTCACACACTCATTTTTCTCTTATTTATATACAGCAAGCTTTCTTCAATAAAAATACAGTAGATGGAAGCAGTTATGCAAATAAGAAGAAAATATCTACTAACTACTAAATAACTGCAGGTTTGTGCTGGACGATTTACAAGTATTGCAGGCCCTGACACACACTTTGTTTAGGAAACACAGAACAAAAAGCATTGGCTGCACAAACTGCCTTGACTCGAAAATGCATCAATTTGTACGCACATTCTAGCTACCTATTAGTATTCATGGCAGGTAATACCTGTGGGGCATGATGTTAAAGATTTCTGTACTTAAAGGTACATTAAGACTATGAAAGTGAAACACGTATTTTTGAATAATCCCTACAGAAGCTTCAAATGCTGTTCATTTATGCCATTGCAATTGAAGCCCATGTTCTGCTTCTTTAACACCTGTTGTAAGTAAATCATATTACAGTACAATTATATCCTACTTCTTATAACTAATGAAAAGATAACAACAACACTGTATTATGGAGAAAGGTGAGTTTTTAAAATGTCTAGAGCCAGCGTGGTGTAGTGGTTTGAACACTGGACTGCAACTCTGGAGACTAGAGTTTGAATCCCCATTTGGCAATATAAACCCATTGGGTGACCTTGGGTAAGTCACACTCTCTCAGCCCCAGAAGACGGCAAAGTCAACCCCCCTCTGAAGAAACTTGCCAAGAAAATTTTGTGATATGTTCACCTTAGGGGCGCCATGAGTCAGAAACAACTTGACGGCACATAACTGCTGAAAGGTCAAATGCCCCCTCTCCTAGCCATTTTTTGAGCAGATGCCCAGAAATATCAACTTCATATGAACCAGGCATCAAACTTCTTGTTCTGACCCATCACATATTAAAGGCCAGAGAAGCTGGTGGCTCCTATACCAGAAGGGTTGCTGTTGTTGTTTTCTTATATCCCACCTTTCTCCCAATATAGGGAATCAAGGTTTTAGTTCAAACTACCTACATTGCTGAACCTGGCACCCAAAATTCGAACCATAGTTTGGACAACTCCTTTGGCATTTAGTCTAAAATCTGGAGTAAATACACTATCCCATTGCCACTGACTCAAGCTTGAAAATATGTGTGTTTGTAACCATAACTATGGCACAATGTTAAGAAAAAAGATTATAGCCAATGTAATATTAGTATGCATCATACTTTTGCCTCATTTCATTTCCTGAAATGCAAAACACCCAAAAGGTTACAATGCTTGCATGTAGCAGCTGCTAGTGATGTCTCATTCCCTTTGCCCTAAGGACGGCATCAGTTTTTCTCAGACTTGAAGTGCATCAAATAAATGGTGTACAATGGGGACACTTTGGAGGCCCCTAACATTTTTTAAATGTGATTTTTCAGTAGTAAGCAAATACAACCTACAATCAACAATGAAAATTCCTGTCCCATCCCTACCTTGCCTGACATTTTAGTTGTCATCTATCAAACTGTAAGGTACTGTTAGCTTTTTATCTTAATTGAACAGATGTTCTTTGTTATTTGGCTACCATAAGATAAATCACATCAGAATCTGTTTTGTCAGAATTTACTTGCTGTTTTTGAAGACCTAGTAAAAAATTAAGGTAAATGAAATAAAGAACAAATGTCTTCTTTTGTCTTCCTCTCCACCCCCATCTAGTCTAATTCTATGACTTCTCAGTCGGTGCAAATTACCACACTTTGTCAAGCCAGCTGTGGAGTGAGAAGTTGTGAAGGTCTCACCACACATCTGCAGTTTTACTGTTCTAGCTGCAACTGGCGATATTTTGATCAGGGTTTTATGTGTTAGATTTCCATTTTCTACATTAAAAAGTGACAACAATACAGTGTCTTTATGCTGTTTACTCACATTTGCTAACCATGCCTAAAACTAATTTCAAAATTGGTTCCCATTTGCGTATTTTAATCAAAGGTTTTCTAATGCCACAATCCCACCAGCAAAGTGTAGAAATTTCCTAACTGATTTTATTTGGCTTAGCAAGGGATGGAAACTCTAACTTATCTCATACACAGTCACACCCACATGGATATCATTTACAGCTCTTTTCTGAAGAAAGTAGTACAGATGTCCCTCTACATTTGCTGGTTAAGCACCCACAGATTTATTTTTTCACCAATTACTGTATTAGCTGCTGCCTCTGCTGCCCTACATGCAACCAAAACAATATGTTCTTTCTAGTTTAGGTTTAAGGTTCAAGTCCCTACGCAGCCATGGAAACTCATAGGTAACCTTGGACAGGTCACACTCTCTAAACCTCAGAGGAAGGCAAAGACAAACCAGCTTTGAACAAATCTTGCCAAGAAACCCCTATTATAGGTTCGCTTCAGGGCTGTCCAGGCCCTAAAATAATATTAAGAAGTTCTGCTTCAAGTGTCCTTGCCAAACAACACAAGGAGTGTGGCTAGTAAGGAAGAGGGTCTCTTCAGAGCTGGCACCCAGGTTGTGGGTTGCCTTCCACCACACAGAAATATCCGTAATGTACCAATGTACCTTTAGTGTCAGGTAAAGACCTGTTCATGCTCCCTTTTTTAGCTACCAATATTTAATTTTTTAGCCATATTTGTGCTTAATAGATCTTACACAGTCACAGCTTTTACTTTTCCTGCTAAGTATTTCCACACTTTTACATTGTTTATTATATATATATATATATATATATATATATATATATATACACACACACACACACACACACACACACACACACACTATTTCAAACTTTATTTTGTGAACCAAACAGAGAGCTTCAGATATTGGGTGACACAGAAATAAATAAATGAACAGGTACACATAAGCATGGGACCAAAAGGGCTCCCTATTGAATTAGCAAACCTACTTTACTGCAACAAAATCAGGTTTCACTGGGAAGTTCCTCACCCAGACTCAACATGACTCATTTGCTTCAGGCACTTTCACCATGGGCTTCCACTGAAGGGAATCTATGGACAGAATGCTCCAAGTATACACTGCGAATGTTTTAGCATTATGTTATCACATTGTTATCTTGATTGAGTCAATCTTGCCTGCATTTTCAAGATGTTTACACACAATGTGATAATCTGAATTTTAATTAAGATTTTCTTTATACTTTCAGTGTCATTTATAGTTGTGAAACTGATTAACGTCCTGAAAAGTTAGTGAGGATGTAACAATTTTTTTCTTCTTTAATTAATCACCTGTTAATAAACCTTTAAACTTCAAAGTTTATCATCCTCTGCCAATTAAATATTGAGCTGCTGTGATCTCTCTTGTATGTATAACCGTTAAATCCAATTGATAAAAAATGTGAAAACCTAGGAGAAATACATACTTAAGCAGGCTTCACTTTCAACCTCAGGGAAGGACAGAGATTAGAGCTGACAGATTAGGCAAGAACAGGTTGCCTGTAGGAGACAGGTTTTTTAAAAAATACTGTAGATAATCACACCTTTATATCTAGAAGTAAAAAAGAACAAGCATTAATGCTATTTCATTTTAACGCACAGACCTGCAGGAAAGAATTAACATTTCTTGATAAAAACTGGAGTTCAGAAAGGACAATCATTAACTTCTTCTGCAACTCCAAAAGACTCATTTTTTTCATCATCAGTCAGCAACTTTGACTAAATGGGTGTGGAACATTTCAGGAAACTGGTGAGGTATAAATAAAAGATTCTTTAGGAGCTCATGTTGCCCTGTGCTACTTAGCTGCTGAAATCTTAAGTGTCTACTCCTGTGGCAACTGAGTCACCCATGTTCTCTGCCTTGAGATGCATGTATTGACAGCTGCCAAGAAGAGCTAAAGCTACTGTAGACCAGGAACCTGTTGCAAACAACCAACACACACACCCAAACAACCAGCGACTGACAACTTCAGAAATCTTACTATGTAGTCTTAAGTGCAGAGGGCTTTCTGAACACTAAACAAGACTTGCAGGCTTTACATTTAGAACTTGGTACAAACAGCACAAGCATGCATATGAAATACACATCACATGTTGTTGTTATATGCTTTCAAGTCATTTCCAAATTATGGCGATCCTAAAGTGACCTATCATAGAGTTTTCTTGGCAAGATTCCTTGGAAGAAGTTTGCCATTGCCATCCTCTGAGACGGAGGAGTGTGACTTGCCCAGGGTCACTCAGTGGCTTTCCATAGCCAAGCAGAGATTTGAACCCTGGTTGCCTGCAGATAAGGCCATGACTGTTTTTGTTACAGCTGTGTAAAGTTGGCTGGGCATGAGGCACAGACTGGTTGTCCTGACTATCACACAATCAGTCTATCTGCAGTGGCAACTGAGTGTTGGTGTGATCAAGGAACCCATGTGAGTGTACTGCTTCTGTGTGATTTCCCTGCCGCTGGGGCTGAGTCAGGTCCCTGGACTCTGGAGTTGGACTGAGCAAGCCTACCTGCACCCCAAAACCCCTTAAGGAGACTCTCAAAAGACTCAAATAAGGGCAAGTCATCTACATTTCTACCCATAAACTGGATCTTGCCTCATGCCACCTATCCAAATTTTCACAAAGTGTAAAGCAAAGGGTAAAGTAAGTTAGACTGTGTGTGTGTGTGTGTGTGTGTGTGTGTGTGTGTGTGTGTGTGTGTGTGTGTGATCAAGACCCTAATCTTGAGAAGATGGCCAACACCTTCCTGGGTACATAAAATAAGACACAGCCTCCTAGGGATAAGACAATGTGATGAGAAGGAAGATGGCAGCTCTCCACTGACTTACACCACTCCACAGCCCAGAAATGGGCCTGCAGGTAAGCCTGGGACCTTGGCATTCAGAGAGATAACTTCCAAATACTTAGTAATAGAAAGTACCACTACCTTCTTTGGGAAAGTGCCAAGTTATTAAATGCACAAGTTCAAGATAGAAGGGTTGACTATATGCTTGTCAAGTCAATCGATCCCTGGATCTGTGCCTCATGCCAAGCCAATTGGTACAAACAGTCAAAATAGATGAAGTCTTATATTTTAAATCTTACATTTGTCTCATACATAACTTTTAAGACCTATACAGAAGCACAGAGAGAAAGGGAAACAAGAGGAAAGACACAAAAAGGGGAAGACATTGTCTGCCTTTAGACAAAGACTTCAGCATCAGCCTCCCTGAATCAGATCAAAGGGTCATGAGATCCAGCATCCTCTTTCCCACAATGGACAGCCACATGCTTCTGGTAAGCCCCTAAGGAAGGCATGAGCACAATAGCTCTCTTCAGCTGTTTCTTTCCAGAGACTGATATTCAGATGGCTCTCTCACACTGGAAGTAAAAGACAGCCATCATGACCAGTAGCGGATAATAATTTATCATCATTATTTGTTCTCATTTCCCTCTAAAGCCACCAAACGCTTCAACTGCCATGGCTCAATGCTATGGAATCTTGGAGTTTGTAGTTTATTGTGACACAAGAGCTCTTGAATAGAGAAGGATAATTATCTCACAAAACTACAAATCCCAGCATTCCATAGCATTGAGCCATAGCATTTAAAGTGATGTCAAACTGCATTATTTCTACAGTGCAGATGCAGCCGAAGTTGGTGGCCATCAATACAGCTTGTAGCAGTAAATTTTCATGTTACATTATGTACTATGTAAAGTCATACAATGCCT